GGATAGAGCAAGAAATGCGCTTCAGAATGGTATAAACCTGCAAAGAATCTAATAGCAAATAACATCGCGGCGAGCATCTGAAAATTGGGCGTCAAAAACCGCAAGAACTTTCTTCACGACCTAATAGTTGATCGACGGGACGTCAGATCCATTTGATGAGAGGTGACATGTGATAAATGGTTACCAAGACATTAATCCATCCCCTTATCCTACCGTAGGAAATGAGATTCTCTTACCTATGGAAGCTAGAAGATTCGGAGTAGATTTGTAGTGGAACGAAAACTTAGTATGTGCAAAAAGCACTGCCGATAGCTAGAAAGGTGGTTTTTCTCTACAATGAACTTGTTTTATGGTTTATGTAATTTTATGGTTTTTTCTATATAGCCAGTTGGCCTGCGCACGATACCGTGCGCGCCTCTTGGCTTCCGACAAATTAAGTTCTTTGAAAAAACCTGAAGCGAAACCGTTTTAGCATCATAGTGTACCACCCTCTCCCAACAAAATGGAGAGAACCGTTAAAGCCCTATTCCACTCGTTTATACATCCATATCTAAGCCGTGACATTTGAAAAATCACAGAAGGGTCTCGAAATCATTTACTTTCTCGTTTACCTCCTACTGAGGAATCCTGCAGTTCACCGGGGATGAAATAATAATAATTTGCCCTGATATCATTTATCTGCATACGTCATCGATGATCTCGTCGGCCAATGAATTTGTGTGGTAAAATTTTACGCGAAATCGTGATAAGCATGTAAGCGCAGAAGTTCCACAGTAGTCTTCAATTCCAAGGACGTCTGCACTGATGCGGCAAGAGGGCGAAGGCCTCTTCAACTGGATGAAGAATAGAACTCTCTACAGATAGTAAGTGGATTTAGTACAACAGTTGGATCGTCCGAGTATACCCCACCTTCATATGTTAAGTTTGAATGCCTCCCTGAGACTAACACCACGATTCCCTACATCGCGTAGTACAAACTTACACTGATCAGAATCGGTTGCTATTGTCGATCGTTACGTTTACATCCTCAATCCCGGCCCATCTCCTCAACTTTGTTAGAGTTAAAACACTGTACGACCAAATGAAACAATTGCGATCGAGCGGTCACCTACACAATAGGTCCCCACAGCGGGATACCCTACCGGGACACTGTATCCCTTCTACACATGAAGGTTATGCCTGAAGGGAGCCAAGTAGTGAGTTAAAGCCACACAATCTAAAAAAGCCTTTAGACACGATTGTTAACCTCGTATTCCCCATCCTGCCACCTGCCATTGAATTTTCTATCTTGCTACCTCCATCTCTACCAAGTTTGAATGCTCCAAATCCAGGTTGGTCCAAATTAACAAATTTCCCGCCCCCAGCGGACGGAGTCCCAGTGGACGGAGTCTGCACATGCCACCTGCCTTCTTTTTTCTATCGCTTGCGCTAAATTGTTAATTCGGACTAATTTGCTCTGCTCATTCCCCACTTGTCCCAATCTGGCCTAACTGCTCCACTTCGGTTTCCAGAAGGCGCCATATAAAATGGCTGCAAACAGACAGACATAGTACAAACAGACAAACAGGCGGACATTTGCCGATAATATATAGTTAGGGTAATGTTCTAAGGAGAATGAGACGTGTCTATAGGAGCCCGTGTAGGCTTCAGAATACTGCTCCGTGGTCATTCAAAGGAAAACTGTGGCAGTCAGGGGTTATCCTTCATCCTAGGGAGGAAGCTCAGAAACCATTTACTGAAACGAAAATTCAGTTCGGCACTCGGCTATTACATGGCGGGGAGCCTAGACGGTTACTGTAGGAGCCAAGTGCCCGTACTGAATTTTCGTTTTTATAAACTATTTTAGTTGTGAACGGTGCCTTTGAACAAATCAAATATGCACTCAGCTAATTTTAGGAGCCGAATGCAAATCAAATATCATGCCAAAGAATCAATTGATTCATCGATCGAAAGTTTTATATTTATATCTTTTATCATTTCGGGTATAAGAAATTGAAGCAAAATGGAAGTGAATCGGTTGGAAGTTGTGATTGACCCATGATTTCCGGGAATTAAGAACTCGATGCTTGTAAAGGTTAGTTTCAAACATCGCCCGAATATCCTTCGCTATGCGGAACTCTATGTTTGGGCGTATCACCAGCCGTCATTTCCCCCCATTCTTATTGAAATTGTTTTACAAAACGCAGGGGACAGTTCTGCCACAACATATTTGTGCATAAATGTTACTAAGTAAGTACCCGTGATCTTAAGGTTGTTAATAAGTACCTACTAATAAGTTACCTCTAGCTTCTGACTGCTTTATTCCGCGAATCTTCACTTCCACAGCAAAGCGTCGACATGTCGGAACGCGACGTCGCTTGCCGCTTTGCGCGGCGCCGCGTGGACGGCTACGATGCGGACGTTTCCGCGTGTCGCTGAAAACTGTCGGTTTTGCATTATTGAAACAACAGATTGATTGATCTCTCTCTTCTTACGGCCATGGGAGGGGCGCTGTGATGAATGACTGATAAAATGGTGGGAAATGCCGAACCAGGACCGACCCACCACGTTTTCGGCTCATATTCAGCCATGTTTTCCATTTGTTATCTCACGTATGTGCCACTCCCGTGTCTTTATCTTTACGTCAATCATGCATCCACGGTTTGCCTTTTACATTTTACTTTCTTCTCTTTTCGTTGCCGGTCAGTGCTACATAAGAAAGTCCTCCAGCTCTTTTCAGAGGTTCTCTTCGTTTGGTTTATTCTTTTGCATTCGTTTTATTCATGTGTCCGTATTGGTAACACAATTTTTATCAGGATATTCGCTGTCAACAGCTGTCTTAAATATTAACCGATAAAATATCAACGATGTTGGATCCGTTCACTCTTGCATGCATTTTGGCGGTTGTTGCTGGTGTCATTGCCGTCATTTTTTATTTGTTCAGTGGCACGGATGACGAAAGGGATTTCGAAAAGGTTTTTGCACCATAGAAGCAATGATTCATAGTTAAACTTCCCACAAGTTTTTTGATTTTCAGGCATTTGGTGAAAATGCTCGTAAACTTCTCAATCAAGATCGTGAAAAACACAAGACAAAGGTTAAAATACCGAAAAAGAAAGAAGGACGGGAAAAGAAGGCTGAGGTACGTACTACAAAATCTTTCCTCTCAAATATTGCATTGTTTCTAAATGAGTGGCCAGTGACCGAATAAAAAATAAATAAATTTGATTTGAATCGTTTTCGCTCAGATTGCGGTATGAATCCACTCGGATTAGTTGCACTGGTTTGCTTGCAAACCTGGTTGCCCGTGGTTTCAGCGAAAGACTGTACGAGTTGCTTTTCGGCTCTAATAGCATGGCTCTATTTGTACAATACACGATCATGTTGCTGAGCGTTGTCTGGAAACATTAAACGATGAGAGCGGTGGCTGAGGATTCCTAACTGAGATTTAGCAGCGTGAAACTTTTTGCTTTTGGAAAGCTGCTTCGGCCAGTGCAGCTCCTATTAGCCAATCATGGCATTTAGTTGATCGATTAAATGAAGGCTGAACAGGAAAAGTGACGACTTTCATTTGTTCGGCAGCTCTTTGAATTGGAGTAGAAGCTGTATCATTTTTACTACGACTTCGTTATGGCAACAACACCTTTGTTGTTTTATTTTGTAGAAAATGATATCAGATATCACCAAGTACAAGTGACCGCACAACAGTACATCTTCTCACCACCCGTTGGTAACCAGTACTGTTTGTGGAATTTATCTATGAGCAATGTTCAGGTGAGGCAGGAGGCTGATGCAGACGTGGATCTGGCGGTAGCTGGTGGCGATTCGGTGGCCGAGCCAGTCGAAAATGTTCCTGTATCGACATCCGTCTCGACAAATGGATCTCCTCCGGAACTAAAGATGAAGAAGCACTCTAAAAAGGAAAAGGTGAGCCGCCGTTACTTCGTTCAAAATCATGTAAAATTGCCACCGAAAAGGAACGCATTTATTTCTTAACGGACTTTCTGTAAGCATATGAATACAGGAATATAGTATGACCATCAAAGAAAGAATAGTGAACAACAAACAAAAGCATCCTATAAATAAACCCGGCTGAGTCAAATCAACTTGTCAATAGATTTATTGAAATCCATTCGATTCGTTTTCAAGCGAGATAGCCAAAACAATGAGAATCGAAGAATAGCAACTGTTAATGCAGAGGCTACAGAGCCATGCTCTCTCGATCATATCTAGAGAGATATGAACGAGCGAGCACGGCTTTTGTAGCATTGAGCTTTGATGAGGTTATACATGTATGTCTGTGTGTGCCATAGAGGGGGAACTGCGACAGGCTGCGTAAATTAGCGGGGACGTACAATACCTTCTCATCTTCCCAGTCGTTTTACCTCTCTGAGGTCGGCTTTTCCTTTTTTCCATGCTTTGCCGTCATCACAGTCTTTATTACGGGAGTCCCTGTAATCAAGGAATTCATTAAAATAATGAAAGTGCCTGAAGCATGCGATGGTGATGTAGTGGCAAGTGATGCTCTATATCACACGCACGGTCGCGGGTTCAAGTCTCCGACCGATTCCGCTCAATCCAACCAAGCCTTCCAACCCTCTGTGGTCGGTTAAGACTTGTCTGGAAAGATAAAATACTAACTTGTACTTCGGCTGGCCACCGTTAGTCATTGTATAGGCCATTACGCATTCATTACACCATCACGATTCTGAATGGAAGTCGAAGGCGGGAGCGCATCCTTTAGAAGGAATTGATTAATGCCAATAGACTTTATCCTTTTATCATTTTCTAATTCAAGAATGCTGTCGTCGCGTCTGAGATAGAAAAGCTGAATGCGGAGCCAGCAGCAAATACTATGGAGGAAATGATCGCACCTAACGAACCTGCTTCCGAAGAAAATAAGGAGAACCGTCAAGAGCAGACCTCGATTTCCGAAGGTTAGCATTCACTTGTCCTTAGTTTCTTGTTTGTCCTAGTTTTTAGTTAGTTTTTAAGAAGCAGGCAATTTTTTTTGAATATCCATTCTTAATATCTCTTTATGCTTATGAGAGCATACGTAAATATCTCCAGGTAGGGCGGTATTTGTCTGTCACTTTTAGTTTTCATTTTCCTGCTTGTTCGACTTTTTCAAATCCTGTTTCAAAATTCATTGATTGTCTTGATATCTTTTGGGTGTATTTAATCAAAATCTCGTAACTTACCCAGCTTTCGTTACAACGAGCTTTTTATGACAATACACAAATGTGATGTCAAGTAAAAAAAGTGACAGAATTGTAAAGCTATTAGATTATCAGAGGAGTCAGGGGATGGATACATTCGTCACTTTTTTGTCAGACTGTCTGCGATTGACTGCTACCATGTTTTCTTTTGGTGAGAGCTCATTTGACGAGGTAAGAATTGGGCAAGATTGGAGAGCTAACTTGATGACTCACTAGGAGAAAAAGTTACTTAAAGTGCTCCTAAAACGTTACCGTTCCTGAAACCTATCTAGAGGACGTCCGACTGTTCGAAGCTTGGAGTGGCTCCTGCAGTGCCGACCAATCAACGATTGACAAATAGCATATTATATTCCTCTGCAGCGTTTATGGTTCGATTAATGATTGAGATCTCTTCGTTGTCTCCCGATAGCTTAGTTATGCTTTTTTCACACAGGACATTGGAGGTCTTAATATAAAAAGAGAACTGGAAACAACTACGAGATCTGGATGAAAGAATAATTTCTCACTCAGTCTCTCAGTCACACCAGGTTATCATAGGCTTCGTTGATTTTTCGTGGGCCACAACTTCACCTCGTAATTGAGCAGGACTTTCTCTTGGGAATCGTTCATAGCACAAACCACAATCATTGTTTTTTACAGATTGATTTTCGAGCAGATTTTTGTAGTGTGACTAACACAATCTGTTAAAATAAAAGGGTCATCGATATAGAAGGTGTCAAATCTTGTATGAGGGTATAATTCAACTTTACATTTATTCAGGAAAAAAGAAAAAGAAAACCAAGGCGAAAAAAGAAGAAGAAGCAACTATCAGTCAACAGTTCGTTTCTGAGGTAGATATGACATACTTTTAACTTGATTTCCTCGTATTCAAAGGTTACCAAGTTTAGCTTGCCCACGAGGAATCTACGGGTGAGCAACATTCTTCAACTAATTCCAAGTCTGAGAAAGAAAGGAAACCCAAGAAGAAAAGTAGGCATTATATGATAGAACCAGCACTGAGCACACATTACGATGGAATAGTTTTGCAGTCGCTATAGTCAATATCAATGACCTGGATTCAAACAAAGTACTTACGCGTATTGCATCGCTTGAAGAAATCGAACCCGAGTATATCAGCTATCTTGCATCCTACTTTCACGATACTAATGCCAAGGTGAGTGGTTTGTGAAACACAGTATTTTCTTTGCTTTTATTGTCTTCATTCTGTCAACCATTTAATTACTTCGTTTATTTATTCATTTATACACTCCACGGAGTGGGCCTTTACCAGTATAATGCCTAGGTAGCAAATAGTCCATTCTTTTCGGCCGTCGCCTGACCCTTGCTGTATTATTTTCCTCACTAAGGCGAAAAATCTTTGAATGTGGTTTCATCAGTTGGTCCGAGGATAAAACCTGCTGACTGCAATCCCAGCTCTGCTTCAACTGTGTCGGTTGCTAGAACTGCTCATAAAACGTTGAAAATTACTTCCTAAAGATGTGCTTACTTGATGTGTCCAACAAACAGAGCCGAACATAGCGCCTTTACCCCTTTCTCAGGACATTTATTTCTGTTCAAATAGTCGTCTCCGCCAATGGAATACTCATTCATAGCGTAGTTCTGAGGTTCAATGTAATCTCACAGGTAGTCTGTGAGCAGCATTACATTTGTACTTATTTATCAAAGAAGCATTTGAATCCGGAAACATGGATTATTCGGCCAATGGCCTTGATATTTGTTAGCTCGGCAGTCATTCCCAATATTCTTCGAGGAAAATGGATGGAGGGAAAAGTTTGGAAAAACTGGAACGTTCTTGCTTTTTAATTTTGACTGAAACGTTCCTGCTTTTGAATTTTGAAAGGAATGTTACGTTGGTCACCGCGGAACCATTGCCGTGTGAATTGGGGATGATATACCGCCACCCTATTTCTTGCGGCGTCGAGTTATGCGAATTTTTTGTTGCTTGATGCCTTTCGACCTTTTTAGCGGAAACTGTTTGTTCATTGTTGATATCTAGGTGGAGATGGTATTGGTCGAATACGGAGTCGATATTCGAACGGGCCCAAGCCTTCTATATTTTCGGGGTCGGGTAACTGATACCAGACTCATTTGGGAGGATAAAGCACTGACTTGTTCATGGCTGAAACGATAAGTCAACCAAATGCGCATTCGCTACTCCATTTCGATTCTGAAGTAGTCAAATGCAAGGACCCTTCTCAAATAGGAAATAATTGACGCCGAGGACTTCATCCTCCGATACCTGATTGATATCTGAAAAGCACATACTAAAGTCTGGGTGGGCCAGTATTTGGTGTGAGACAGAACTTTGTTGCACGAAAACTTTTTCCGGACCATGCCTTGGCCCTCACACTCTTCCTATATGTTTTTAATAGATGGCAGTCACAAGGTGAGAGCTTCCGATTTACGGCCTCATGTATACCTTTCATCATGTCAAGCATTTCCTTGTTGGGTTTAAGGAATCGCTTGGCTTTCTTACCTCCTCCTTTTGATTCAGTGCCAATATGCATTCTAGAAACCATTAGATTCTTTAATAAAGGTCGATTGCGTGATGCATCTCTATGTGGAGATTGATCAATGCTAAGCGAATGTTTCTCAGTGGCGTTATTGACTGACGATGACATAATTTTCAGATAAATGGACTGGAGAACGCGATAGTTGAGTTCGAAAGGAAGGACCTCGAGCATAAGAAGAAAATAGACCAGTATCAACAGTCGCGCCTGATTTCTGATAGGCAAATAGCTGACCATGTGTAAGTCGTGACTCCTTTTTTATCGAGTTTTCTTTTCTAATGCCAACCAAGAGTTCATTTTAATTTTTTCGAATTTTTTCATGTTGCTTGCTACTCCTATGAAAAGCAAATTTTTTGTTGGCAGTATTTTGACCATATTTCCCAACGATTACATAGCTGATTTGACAGTGTCCGTAAGACGAAATTTCATGTTGAATCCGTTATAACTGCAGAATTGCCAATCGTTATGGATTTTTAGAAACTACATTCATGAAAACAAGCCTCTCGTACGCAAATGTAAGAGCATCCCAATCATTTACTCTTGAAATGTAGCCAAGTTAATATAATGTTTCAGCGGGTTAATGTGGCCTTTTGCAATGGTCTAAATCCTCTCAAGCCTTCACAATTTGCAGGGTTCCATACCCATCCTAAATTAATCTTACGTCATAGTCAGTTGACACGAGGTTTGAAAAAAGAACCAACTGTTCCTACGAGCGCTAAAAGCAATGAAGTAGTGTTGCTCTTGTAAAAGGCAGAGAAAAAAGTGTCAGGCCTTCTTTGCTCGTAAGGATCAGGGATCATAAGATCTCCTCAGCATGGCCATATCACCATGTGAAGACGGACCTGACGTTCGCTTCCTGCCTCATTCTTTTCAATCAAAGATACCTTCCTTTTATCAGCCACATCTCCATTTGCATCCAACCAAATTCCAACATCCTCATTTCTGCTGAATGCAGTTGGCTTCTTTTATTTGGTCTACAGGCTAACACCTGCTAGAGCTAGCGCTGTAGAATATCGCAGACCACCGCTTCTCTGTATACTTCTTCTTCGAGCCTCGTTAAGCCTCCTGGAATACTGCTTATCGAGGAGGATGAATAGTACCCTTCATTCCTTCAGTGCCGCACCTATTCGAGCCTTCGCACCATGGTCCACGTTTCCATCGTCGACTAAGTCGCTCTTATAACCAAAAATACTGCGCTTTTTTAGTGCTCTTTTTAGGCAGTCTACGAGTAATTTTTTTGCAATTTCCTAAACTTGTAACTTGGTCTTCCTTTACGTTCATGCTATTGCGAAAAAAATGTGTTAGTGCCCTTGTCGCGTCTCCCCCTTGCTTGGATTTATAGACCACAAGCACTTTCTTCACAGTGATGAATAATGATATCTTCTTATTCGAATATCACCTACAAAAATGGCAATTGGGTCTGTACGTTAATAANTTCACAGCTTAAGGTTTTACCTGTTTGCGAGTGAGCGCGATCTTACCTTGATAAAATCATAACCAANCCATGGTCCACGTTTCCATCGTCGACTAAGTCGCTCTTATAACCAAAAATACTGCGCTTTTTTAGTGCTCTTTTTAGGCAGTCTACGAGTAATTTTTTTGCAATTTCCTAAACTTGTAACTTGGTCTTCCTTTACGTTCATGCTATTGCGAAAAAAATGTGTTAGTGTCCTTGTCGCGTCTCCCCCTTGCTTGGATTTATAGACCACAAGCACTTTCTTCACAGTGATGAATAATGATATCTTCTTATTCGAATATCACCTACAAAAATGGCAATTGGGTCTGTACGTTAATAATTCTGAAATTCAAGTAGCTAACCTTGTTGTTATCGTGTTCATTTGTTACTACATATATTGCAGCCGTGTCATTTCTGAGTTGACTTCCAAACTTCAAGCACTCTCCGTTTCCGAAGCGGCCGCGAAACGACAGATAATGCAGCTGAATAACGTACGTTATGAATTCCTTTTTCTCCGGCAACCAGTTGAGAGGTTTCTCGTGTTAATAGCTATTTTTAGGTATGCGTTGAAAATGACACACTCAAATCAGCTCTCTCTAAATCTGCAGCGGATGCAGCAGCAGCATCGAAGGCCATTTCTAATCTGGAAGCAATGAAAGTTGTAGGTCCTAAAGGTCCCTAGCCTAATAAGTGTTTAGTGAAAACTTTTCAAGAACAATGCCGAACTGACTGATCGTCTCGCGAAAATGAACAAGTCTCTCAACGAAACTGTGGAACAAAACGCTGCGCTGAAGCGAGAGATTGCCGAGTTTGCAAAGGTAAGTGTCAAGTGGAAGTATCACTTTGTTAATTGCCTAGTATTCTGGTATATCGTTAGACAAGATTCGTGAAGAGTAACTATTGTGGAGCAGGGACGGATGCCTCCTATTATTATTGTTAGGCCCTTCTTCTAATCTTGATGATACTTTTGACGTGAACCAGAGAGCGAAGAAATTGAAAAAGCCATTTTTGCATTAGTCGACGTATTACCCACATGTGCAGCAACATAACAAAATGTGATAGGTTAGCTGTAATTAGGCATCAATTTCGGCGACTCGGGAAAGTTTATGTGTGGACAGGCGCATTGGTCATTAAAGATACGAATTGATACTCTGAAAATATTTTTCCAATGATTTCTTGCGATGCTACTAACAATAAGGTGGAGACTTTAGTGTCTTCACCATATTCATATTATCATCCTTATTTGAGTACGAAGGAAAGAGGCCGTAGCTGATCACATCTCGTAAAACCTATCCAAAAACTACATTTTCGTACTAGCCTTTGTAACAAGGGATCACTATGTTGTCTAGCTGGTTGTATTGCGAATTTCGTTCTATTGTTAAGTGACTATACACGCCATGCGCTCTTCTGCCTTAACCCCTGAAATGCCACAGAAACCCTGTCGTTTACTGTGAGGAATTTTTTTTTCGCCTCCTCTACGATCACCCATGGCATTTCCTTCTACATTTTCGTCATTTGGAATGTACAATTACGACCGATGTGAAGTATTTGTAAAAGAAAATGGCAAGCAGTCATCCAGAGGAGATAATGATATGAAATAATTGATAATCAACCCCATCACTCTCGTTAATGTCTATCCATTTTCTTCACCCATTCGAGACGGTTGCCTAAAACAGGTGAGTTGAAGACTCGTTTCCTCTAGTGGCACTTGTTCCCTTCACGTCACTGAAGGATTACCTGTGTTTGATGTAATTTCGCTTCCAAAAATTAGTTGTTTCCAAGTCTTCGCACTTTTTTGTGGTGAGGCTCGATGAGTGGAATGTACGCTGTAGCTGAGGTAGATAATGATATAGATGATTAGTTCTAGTTAATTAAAGTAGGCTTCGAAAAGCTGGTTCTTATGACTTGGTAAACTTGGAAATAGATGGAGAACGTTGGTGAATAGGCACAATTTGCGATATCTGGTCATGTTAATGAACTATCCTACTTTGGTAAATGCTATTTTTGATTTTTTGAGAAGTTGCTCTGAGTATCGCGTTGTTTTCTCTCCGTGATACAATCGATTATTAGCTGTCCTGCTCAGCAAATACCTGTTTGATATTCATTCTTCTGAGCGTGGAAGCGGTCTAATTCTCTACAACCACAAAATTTCCTTTACATTATGAATTTTGCTGTATTTCGCATGATGTTAGACGACGTGGAATGCGACACTTTGTAGAATGGCCTTAAGTGTACTGATTGGGGGTTCCCATAGGAGAGGGCGGTTACCTATTGGTTTACAATTCCGCTTGTCAGCCCCTTAGTTCGAAACTGAATGTTTTTACAAAGGAAACTGGTCCTAAGAGCTGACCGCCTTGTGAACTAGGAAGGCGGTTAGTTTTTGGCGTAATCTGGGAAGTTATTGTCATATCTGCCGGCTAAAACTGCCACGCAATACGTCTTTTGCTGCAGCAAGAGGTGTTACCTATTCATAAGGCATGGGCTAGAGGCTTACCATTTGTGTACGTAGGAAGAGTAAATTGGATAATTTTGGGACACTGATTGGTGCTGGACCTTAATTTCATAGATAGTATTGAAATTGTGTTGGATATTTTTTTGGTTTTTTTAGGTTGGGAAAGGGATGAAAGTTGATTTTTCAGCAAGCTGCTGCACTCGATCATCTCAAGCAAGAATTCGCGACACTCGATACCGCAGCCAGGCAGTTGAAGGCTGAACTAGAGGACAAAACTCGCGTCATAGAGGAAACAAAACTAATGACATCGAACACTGATTCCGTTAAGAGGGCTGAAAGTGAAAGGGACGAGATTGCTCATCAATTTGCACAGGCTCGCTCCGAATGGGAACAGGTTCGGTTTCCTGACTATGTTTTTTTGTACTTTTTTTGCTAGTACTTTTTCTCTGCTAGTGGGAATTTTTCACAGCTTAAGGTTTTACCTGTTTGCGAGTGAGCGCCCTCTTACCTTGATAAAATCATAACCAAATGGAACGGGAAAGGCTTTTTCTTCTCTATCGAATAATCACTGTCGCTTCAATTCGATAAAGTGAATCACTGTTAAGGAATATTCGTTCGTTATTTCATTTATTTATCAGCTTGAATTTGGTTCATGAACCGTCAATCCAATGGAAAGTCGAGGCACATTCTAACAACAAGCAGTCAAGCTTGGATTTTAGATCTGTACCTTTTTTGCTTGTTCTCACTGCTATTTACTTGTACTTTATCATCTTACCTACCTGCTCTCTGTAATGGCTTGTAATGGAGTGAACCCGACGAGTTGCCATCAGCTTGCAGAAACCTCTGAAATTTTCGCTCTTTTTCGCTAATGTTGCACCTACCATAATAATTACTAATGAGTAGTTTAGAAGATAGAGCTGCATGGATGCAGCGGGATGAATTTTGTAACCGGTTCCTTATCTGTGCGGGCAACTGATTCAGCAGTATTCTAGAAAATGGTTCGACGCAGACATTCCTTTGCTTTACTTAGCAGTGTTATCTGACTGATATACAGCACCAGTGCCTCTAATCCTTGTTGACATAGCTGTGTTGTTGGTCATTGTTGTAGAGTAGCATATAAAGAAATCCATAAATTCAAGCGATTTTGGCCGGTACCACTTCACTGCTTCGCCACCCACCGCTTGAGCTTTTCTCTCCTGTTATTTTAAATCCTCTCACATAGTAGCCTGAAGCTGCCGATATGAGATCTGCTCTAGGAGATTGCATTGTGTCTCTCTCTGCAGTTCATAAAGACCCAGCATTGAGCGCATTCGGGAATAGGAAATTGTCCTGACGCAAAATTTTCTTACTGAATTAATTGTTTTCAAAGGCCGTTCCTGAATGGATGTTTACCTGTGGGCGAATATATGAATATAGTTGAGATGTGAAGAAGCGGAACTGGTCGAAATCTCTGAGCAGTGTTTGTAGACGAGTGCATGTTCTTGGGCCTCTCTTGGAGATGCCTTGTCCCTTATGACTATCTGCCCATAGTTCCATCTAGCCTGTTACTCAATGCACGCTCGAGGCTGTTTCACTTCAGAATCCCTCAACATTCTGCAGGAACCTAGAGTACAGTCGTTGATTGTTCATATTAGACTCCTCTTCATTGCATCTTCAGCACTTGCTGATGACGAGACTAATCTTTCTACGACCCGCGCCTGGGACGATACTTCTTTGTTAAAATTTGTTCACTTCAAGTTGTGGTCATGAATCAAGATGTCTTAACATGCAGGAGGTGAGGGAACCGATCTTGAACCTCTAGTGATGTTCGAATTTTCTCACACGTCTCTAGGTCGCTCGAGATGGATTTGAAACAGAGGTAAAAGTAGAATTTACGGTAAAGTCATTATCTTTTTGCGCAATTTTACCATCGTAAGCATTCCGGGTGCAGATAAGGACGATCTCAACAGATCTCCTTGACCACTTGGTCCTCGACAACAGTGCTGAGAATGCCAGTTGTGTAGGTATCGATTGGACGGCCCCTGCTACTCTTAGCACTGATGAACTCAATTTTGTCATCTCTTGTCAGATAACGGCATCAACGAAGAAGCAAAGAACACTTGTGAGATGGGTGCTCAAACCCGAGCACATGAAACTTTAGCGAGACTGTTGGAGCTATTGCGAGACGTGGCTCAATTATGCGAACAGTTTTACTTCGAGGAACTTTCGACGTAGTAGCACTTCGAACCAAGGTCTTGGACAAAAAATGCATCATAATTGATAACATCGACAACATCATAACTGGAGCCACCAGACGAATTATTCTTTAACCTCGGCTTGTTGACCTGCCTACTCGAAATCAGCAGTATTACTGGTCTTCGAAACCTTGAACCTAACCAAAAAGTACCCATTCATTCGCGGGAGTTTTCACTAGAGATAGATTCGAAGAAATCAAAGGCATCTCTACTCTAACGACAACGCTGCTGCCGACAAGGTGAAAATAGCTCCTACAAACTGGCTGTAGCGTATTCTCAACTCGGTATTGGATTTCGAACCGATCAAGAATTCAAGATCTCGCAAGCAGAAGCTGCTGTCTGATCTAAGTGAAGGGCTAAGGACTTTTCGCCCTGGCCGCTGCCCCCGACCTCTGCAAGCTCAAGCGAATGCCGGCAGACAGAAATTCACGACCGCGCGAGGACCGAGTCGAAATGCAGTGAAGGCAGCGAATTTCCTTCTTTAGATTGCTTCGAAAAAAATCATGATTTTGGTTTTTGGCGAAAATCGAAATAAGTGTTCCAATTCAATGAAAAGTCCATTCAATGAATTGCAATCAGTATGTCGAGAATGCAGTCTTCCATCTTTCGTTTTTCGATACCGCGCCGGACGTGCTTCTCATTCTCTGTCCTTTATATTTACCTACTGCACAATTGTTGCAGGTAAATATAGAGCACACAAAATGTCAAGCCTAGCTGACAACTGACGTTTACTACTTGAGTGTTCTACACAAGCGATTAATTCATATCATACCATTTCCATCGATTCTTTTATCAGGGTGTTGGGGTATAAAAATCGTATCTGGCTCATGAATCTTTTTAAAAATCGTTTTTCTTTTTTCAAATGTACTTCTACTTTTTGTGGTATTGAGACTCCAAGGTTTAACGATATCTAAGCACCTTGACTCAATTGTCGATATTTTGATATTGTCAACGAAAGCAGCTCGAATATCCAGCATGAAATTTCTGAGCCGGTGATGTAATACGAGATAGTAGTTTTCTTGGATTATGCGACTCTTGGAATTCCCATCAGTTGTTGCAACATTCGACGCCATCGTTAGCAACTAGACCGCGTCGCTAACCACTGCAAAGAAAACAGGACTATGTGTTTTATTACTGATCACGGCTCGAGCCACTAGGAAAAGTTAGAGCAGTAAGGATCCCCAATCTAATCGGCTTTTTCTCGTCCGCCTTTTAGACATGACACAGTAGCACACCATGCCTCTTCTAATTGATTTGTGTTCTATTCCGATGATCATTTTTTTGTGAAATTTTGCTGATGAATTGAGTGTATGCCACAGGCAATGTTATAAATTATATACTAGCCAATCATTCCGACAACTTTGTGAGTTAGATTGAAATTCGGGGAGCTAGAGCGATATCATGAACCTTCCACTTTTTACTAGAAACATTTAAATCAGTTTAATTATCAGTGTGATTTCTTACGTTCTATTCCTCGAGGTTTATTCGAAATAGTTAAAAATGGGAGCTATTGGATTTGAATCGAATTAAATTAGCATTGCGGTTTTGGTGTAAGGAGGCTGCAACGAGAAAATCGATATGCCACTGAT